TCTAGAGTTGTGGGTAGTTCAATGTACATAATGAATTGTGCAAGACTTGATATTGCCTATTCGATAGGAAGATTGACAAAATACACTAGCAATCCTGGACATGATTATTGGAATGTGTTAGTCAGAGTTTTAAAGTACTTAAAGTACACTTTAGACTATGGATTGCATTATACGAAATATTCATCTGTACTGGAACAATTTAGTGATGCTAACTGGATCTCTGAAGCATGGAGACTAAGTCAACCAGTGAATATATATTTACCTCAGGTGGARTAGCTATGTCATTGAAATCTTCAAAATAGATGTGTATAGCACGGTCTACTATGGAATCAGAGTTTATAGTTCTTGATAAAGTTGGAGAAGAAGCATAATGGCTTCAAAACTTTCTTGAAGATACTCTGTTGTGGCTGAAGCCTGTTAGTGCCATATATATTTATTGTGACAGTTTAACAGTCTCAATGAGAGCTAAGAATAATGTCAACAATGGGAAGTCACGACACATAAGACGCAGACATAATTCTATCAGACAATTACTCTTTAATGGAATAATTTCCATTGATTATGTGAAATCAAAAGAGAATGTTGCTGATCCTTTAATGTCAAGAGAGCAAGTTGCATATATATCGAGGAAAATGGAGCTAAAGCCTATGAAGTGAAGTATCTGGTGGTAATCTAACCTAGTTGACTRGAGATCCCAAGATATAAGTTCAATAGGCAAACTAGCTGGATAATTCATAGTTGACACACTAAGAAACTTATAGTTTCTTCCCATTTCTATGATGTTATGTGTGTGATMTGTTGATATTATGGTCATATTGATATATTGATTACAAGAAGAGTAGTGGAAAAATACTCTTAATCAACATCACCTATGTGATAGTAGAAWTGGGTTGGTTCTATGAGAACTTTTTCAAATGGCTTATGTTCTCTAAAGCTCTCATGAATTYAGAATATTGTCCAGGACCAAAATGGACACAACCGTATAGAACTCAAATATACAAGATAAGTTATGTGTGATATTTGTTGTCTCAATTTATCACGAGAAGGATAGTTCTAGAGCTAGTTCTCACTATTTCTTCGGTAAATTCGATAAATATTCACTAAGGAAGGTTCAAGTCCAAAAGACACCTCTCTTGATGCATAACTTATATGTTTGCTCTCAACGTCTTGGTCGTATTTTGCCTGTCTCACTTTCATGTGGGGGATTGTTGAATTTTTAATATGTGAGAAAGTGAGAAAACAGTTAAGTATATGAATTTAACATCCRGAAATTATATTCGTGTATTAAGAATTTGAAACTTAATTTATATTTGTAACAAATTCATTATTTATTTTATAAATTGTTTTTTGTTTCAATTTTTGTGCTATGTAACTTTATTCTGTTAAAGTTACATGTTGTTAAATTTGAAGTTAAACTTCAAATGAGTAGTTTTTTTTTCATGTTGTTAAGGTTGAACTTAATTCCTGTGTAAGGAGTTTCATGTTTACACAACTATAAATAATTGTTGTTTTGTGCATTTGAGATCAATCTTTCTCATTTTGAGTTCCTCCTCCTCTCACAAGAGTTCTTTTTTTTTTTTTGAGTAGTTGTTCTTGTTTGTGTTGAGAGCAAGTATCCAAGAGATCTGCCAGATTCAAGTAGTTCGAGGTTGCGTGTTGTTAAACYGGAGTTAGTCGTTATATCCTGCTAAGACGATCAATGTAGTCTACTAGCAACTTGTGCAGAGCGAATAATTGTATTCAGGTCAGTATTATTGAAGCGTGCCTCGACTATATTTATCAAGTTTGGTGTTTATCAAATTGTCAAAGTGTRTATTGTTTGTAGCCAGTTCTGTTGTAATCTATTTGCCAGTATTACACAATTTATATATACAACGTATATTTACTCAACAACATAACATATATTTCCAAAAAGAAATATATAAAATAGATCTAAAAATTATTATAAGCAATTATTATTTTTTCAATATAATAAATCTCATAACATCCTTTTCTAATTAATGCAATTTTATATTATTTATAGATACATGAGAGTATTTTAATAATCATCGTATGCCTGATTATGATTCTAGGTATACATGAATTGTTTTCTGATTTTAATTCCATATGATTTCAAGTAAACAACATTAATGGAATAAAGTTTCGATTCCAATTGATTTCATTCTGATTCATTTTCATTACGATGTAGGATTAATAAACAGGCCTAAATCTCTTCCTGGAATTCCTGTCGACATCGACATCTCAAATGCGAAGCAAATTGGGAAATTAGGATTTTTGACCCTCCTATAATTCAATTCGGATTTTTAACCCCATTTACAAAAACTCTTATGTGTGGGGAAATTTGAAATTTTGACCTCTCCCATAATTCACTTTGGATTTATGACTCCATTCTGAAAAAAACTAATCTATGACCTCACTCTTCCTTATTTATTAATAATTTTATAATTTTTAAATGTGAAATTACCGTAGTACCCTCATGTTTCAAAATCAACATCTCTCCCTCCACAAATCTCTTTCCAATMTTTATTCCCTCCACAAATCTCTCACAATAATTAATTACAACCCTAAAAAATCTAACTTTTAAGAAAAATATCTAACTCAAATAGTAAATTAAAAGTTTAATATGGAAAAAATAAAAAACGTACATAATTATATAAGATTTGTGCGAGTTTAATTACAAAAAAGTCAAGATTACAAAAATCTCGGGTCAATATTGCATTGAATGCTCGAGTTTTAATTGATAACAATAAGGCTAAGAGGAGAGAGAATGAAAAAAAAAAGCTGAAATTGGAGGATCCTGTTCCGGGATTGAAGGATCTCGGACCGGCTTACTATTCGGTCCAAGATTCTGCAATCCCGATTCGGGATCCTCCAATTTCATTTTTTTTTGCATTATCTTCCCCTCTTAGCCTTTATTGTCAATTAAATCTCGGGCATTTAATGCAATTTTGGCACGACATTTATGAAATCTTAATTTTTTTTAATTAAATCCGGACAAATCTTATGCATTTATTCTTGTATCATGCAAATCTTTTTTTCACCCTAATTTACTTATTGGAGGATTTAATTTACAGATTTTTTTGTATGGATTCGTTTGTTAAGTAATAAATTAATCCATATTAGATTCAAAATAAACAAAAATGGTAAGGGTTGAGAGAAGAGATTGGTGGATAATTTTACTTAAAATAAACAAGGATATTTTGGTAATTGTACAAAGACAAAAAGTGGAAAGGGGTCACAAATTAGAACAATAGGGTCACAAATTAGGTTTTTTTAAAAAGGGGTCAAAAATCCAAATGAGTTATATAATGGGGTTAGAAACCCCAATTTCCCTTATGTGTGACCCCTCCATTGAAGTTTTAACCCCTTTCAACGTTTTGGTGAATGTGTGATTACAAAAATACCCTTGGTTTGACTCACAATCTTCTTGGATTAAAAAACAATCTCTCTTTATAAATTTGAAGAATCTAAACTAATTTTATTTTTTTAGTACGAAGAATATAAACTAATTGAATGATCAAAAAAATCTAATTGGGAAAATCGTTTAATGTGAAAATCGAATTTTTTAATTTAAAAAATTAATATGAAAAATCGAAATTAGTTAATTGAATGGTTAAAAAAATCTTCAATATCGAAATTTGCATAATCTCAACCAAAGATTTCATAAATAAGGGAAAAGTCAAAATTTCATGAATCTAGGCCAAAATTGCATAGATTTAATTTAAAAAAAGGATCAAAATTAAATTACGTAATTAAGGAAAAAAACTATTCATAAATATCCGGATTTAATTTAAAAGGAAAGTCAAAATTTCATGAATTTAGACAAAGATTGCATAGATTTAATTTAAAAAGAGAATGAGTATTACGTAATTAAGGGAAAAAACGATTTCAAGTTTAGGAAAAAAAAACGATTTCATAAATACCCGGATTTAATTTAAAAGAAAGTCAAAATTGGAGAGAAGGAAGGAAAAAGAAAACCTGGACTGGTGTGGATCCCGGTCCAGGATAGCACAAACTTGGAYCGGGATAGAACAATCCCGGACCGGGGCAGTATCCATACAAGCCCTGTCCGGGATTGTTCTATCCCGGACCGGGATCCACACCATTCCAGGTTTTTCTATTTTTATTATTATTATTATTTTTTTTGCCTTTTCTCCCATCTTGCCCTCTTTGTTGCCAATATATTAGYTCGAAATTTATGATTTTTTTTATTTTTTTAAAATTAAATCCGGAAAAATCTTATGCATTTATTATTGGATCATGCAAATCTTTTTTCACTCGAATTTAGTTATCGGAGAATTTATGTGTTTACGTTTACTTATTGGAGGATTCTTTTTGGATTCGGTTGTTGTTCTTAATTGATTCCTTAATTAAAATGTTGATTTTTTTTT